ATGGCAAAATCAAAGTAATTAGCCTAACTATCACCTTAAACTTTTATCATTTCTTTATGGTGAACACATTCAAAATTCTCCCTTATAAATATGAAGATCCAATGAATTATTATTAAGTATATTCATTCAGAATGCTTATTTTTAAAATGTCCCTGATAGGAGCTTATACTTTTCCTCCTCCTGCATTTCTGAATAGTCTCCCTTTCTAGGAAGCCTAACCCTAGGGATTTCAGAAAAATAAATGATATGTGTTTAATAACCTGTATGATCTTTAGCTAGGCAAGACCCCTTTTCCTCTGGCTCTTGCTTCTCCTGGGCATGAAAACACACAGAACTACAGCAACAGCTGGGGATCATTAAACTGACAGAAATAGCTTAGGAGACTCCAAAGTGTATGAGTGGGGGAAGGAGAGGCTGAGTATCAGATTAAAAAAATCAAAAGGGCAACAGGAAAGTGTGTGTGTGTGTAGCGGGGGGTGGGAGGGGGTGCAAAGCCTAAGGAGCATATCACATCTAAATTTCCTTTACATAGTAAAAAATGAAGGGACAGTGACTACAGCCTAACTTGCCTAGCTCCTTTGATGGACAGTTTAGTCAAACCTAAAACTGAGAGTCTAAATGAAGACAGGTTGGGGGGTGGGAGAGGAGTTGTGGAACCTCAGAAACTAACCTTAGGGGCTGGAGGTATATCTCAAAGTTCAGACTCTACTAAACATTCCCCATACCCCACAAAAAAGGACTAACTCCCAAAATCATCCCCAGTCTGGAGGAATCCTTCAGGGGCTGAAGTGACAGTGAAAAAACAACTCCAAGATGGGTAGGAACCAGACTGTGAGAATATAGGCCAACCTCTAAGTGGACTCAGAGACAGCCTAGACCCAAGAAATTCCCTCAACTGTGGAGAACCAAATGCTACAGGAAATGCAGGCTCTTTGAGACTATTCTTGTCAGTGCATAGCCATACCTCCCCAGTGCCAGCTTTTGAACCTGGCAGGTCTCTGAATGTGGGTCCAGGAATGTGCCATTTGCCTGGGCAACTGCCAGAGTGTGTTCAGCACATGCTTGAATGCCAGGGAGAAGCTTTATTGCTATCATCCCAAAGGAATGGGGTTACCTATCCTGATCTATGCTTTTAAGTCTCATTAGTTCCAGGAACCTGGGGTACCCTGTTCATCCCCACACTTGCTAGATTATCTATTCAATATCATCAGGGCTTCTTCCACCAACATATTCCTTTATATCTACAGGATTGCATTTTCAGATAGTTCCCCACCTGCAAGCCTGAACAGGAAATGATTCAAATTGCAGATATCATGACTGCAACTCTCTTTGGCAAGAGTATTTTGTAATTGTGTGATTGCGTGAACTTCAGCTGAACATTTTATTAGATGAAATCTCATGATTTACTAGAGAAAGCGCCAGCCTGAGAGATGGTCTCAATAAAAAAAACAACTACCACACTACCGTATTCTAAAATAGCTTGCTTCTTTTCTAACCATAAATCTTGCAAGAAAATTTCTAAAATACATCAGTTTTGTCTTAATAACTATATTCGAACCAGGATTTCTACAGGTTTCTACAAACACCTCACCATAATTGGCTGATTCTGAATATCTGAAGTTATTATTAAGAAAGGCAGAGGATATACAAAAATAAATCCACTACACTGGAAACTAAAAAAAGGTTAGACATAGACTACATACAATTAATTTGAGGGTGAATAACATCAAAGGACAAGATATATGTAAACCAAATTACAATGACCATAATCACCTCTCATTGTGTGCAGCCTAGGTGGATATAATTGTATCATTAAAACTTTCATTAACCTTTACCTGAAATCTAAAACTTAATGCCACAAATAGTTATAATTAATCACTTACTATGTGCATGCCTGGTTACAAAGTAGAAGACAGAAACTGATTAGGAAAATAACACTGGGCATTTATAGAATAGAAGCTACTTTTATTTATTTATTTTTTCTTTTACAATCAACATACTTTATTCATAACTGCAGAACAGTGGAATCTTTCTTTCCATCTCACATCCAAGCTTAATTACAAACTCCTGAAAACTGACTGGCTGGCTGGCAGACAGAGACACTCCACCTTGACAATGTCCTTAGAATGCACTGTCCTTATTGTAACCTATTTAATCCTTGGATTCACTGCCACTAGAGTATTTTCATCATAATACCTTGGTGGATAACTTTTACTCATCCCTAACACTTTGCTTCAGTCTCATGCCATGACTCCCCTTTCCCAATATTCTTGGAATATGTCTAGAAGCTACTTTTACACATACGATCTCATTTGACCCTGTGAGCAGACATATCCACTATTCCATGAGAGGAACTGGTTTGTCAAGTTCAAAGCAACTTCGCCAAGCTCATCATTGGCAAGATCAAACCAAGATTTTTATCTGCTCAGTGCTAGGATACTACCTGCCTATCATAAAAAACAGAATTTAGTTCCTTCTGAAGACTAGAATTACCCATGAGACTCAACAATGCAGATTTAAGACAAAATCTGTCACTTTGGGATAAATATTTTGTTTAAGGACATGATACCGCCCTCTAGTGCCAAGATATACAGTAGTTATCAGCAATCTCAGAATAACATCTAGATAAGGCATATGACCCACCAAGTCTTTGTTATGCATTTTGGAGGGAAAGACAGAAAAGGATGAATCCATCACTCACATAAAAAAAAATAATAATAATAAAATGGCCAGGTGCCAGTAGCTCACGCCTATAATCCTAGCACTGAGGAGGCAGAGATCAGGATTGTGGTTCAAAGCCAGCCCAAGCAAATAGTTCTGCGAGACTTTATTTTGAAAAACCCTTCACAAAAATAGGGCTGGTGGGGTGGCTCATCAAGATAAAGGCCCTGAGTTCACAAAACAAAACAAAAACAATAAAATGACATAAGCTCCTAAAGAAATGTATAAATATAATGGGGAAGGTTAAGAAATGCTAAACATCACTGTTATACTTTGCAATAATAGATTACCAGAGTACAAAGGATTTGTAAGCTTCATGGGGGCAGCAGCATATCAGCGATCTTTAAAGCAATTCACAAACTACAGATGAACAGCGAGACCTAAGGCTTAGAGGTGGGAAGTACTGTAATGTTAAGATCAAAACCAACATTTTCTAAAGTATTTAGCTGAAGCATGAAGTTGGTGTGGGGAAATAATGAAAAGGCTAGTTAAGGTCTAGAACTATGTTATCGGATACAGTAGTTACTAATCACAACTGCTATCTTCATTTAATTAGAGTCAAATAAAATAAGAAATTCCATTGTCTTATTAGCCACATTTCAAGTCTTACTGGCCACTTTTGGCTAGTGTCCACCATTCTAGACAGTACACAGATAAAGTACAAGGTAGGTAGTGCTGTACGAGAGGTGGCCACAAAACACCCATCTTTCAAGACTGCTAAGAAAGAAAAGTCAGGCAGATCTGATCCTTGCCAAAAGTCTATTAATAAAGAAAAATTATGAAAGAAGAAACTGTTATTAGTAATTTATAATAAAACACAAGACTAAGAAGAATCATCTCACTGAGTATCTTTAGGTATTTCAAGGAAGAACTATCTTTGTCCCTCAAACATGTACTTTAGCACCTAAGAAGTAACATCAGATATCTTTTTTACTTTTACTTCCTAGTGTACCACACATTTCTTCTGTGAAGCTTAAAAAATGACACGGACTTTTAAAAAGTTTATTTACTTATTTATAAAGATATAATGAGTACTCTTAAGAACCAGTAGACACTGAGTTCAAGGCCCAGTACTTTGCCCACCTCCCCACATCCCCCCAAAAATTCCAGTAGACAAAGAATTCTAAAAACAGGGTTCTAAGCACACTGTGAAGCCAACTGCAGGGTAACTACCTTAAGTTACCATCCTGATCATACTCCTAACAATTAGAGTTTCTATTTCCTATACAGGTTTTTGCACTTAATGCAAAGACATTCTTAATGAGCAGACTGGGATTCTGAAATGTAACTCTCTGAATTATTTTTTTAAAAAAAATCAAAGGTAGCAGCCCAGTGATTAAGTAATGAGCCATTATCTGCCTGTCAGATAATCTTCCCTCTGACCATGCTATGGTGTTTCTTTCACATTAGTTCAGAATATTTCTAGATATTTGAAGAAAAACCAACTGCCTTTCAAAGGCTCTTAAAACTACTCTGTTTGCAAACTGGACACTCTAGTTTCCTCACCAGCAGATTCATTCACTGCTGATGCCACAAACTCAAGCCATCCTGTCAAATGTTAGCAAAGTTGCAGAGACATGTCTGCTTTTGGAAAAGCAGCATTTATGCAAGCAATATTACAGATTATACATGTAATATTACATCATATATAAATGATGACAGTAGATAATTATGCTTTCCAAGCAAAGAGAAAAAGGTATTGATTATTCTTTGTCTCTACATTTGATAGAATTTAGATAGTCTCTAACCTCTTTTTCTTTATAACCCAGAACTCTTCTGAAAGAATTCTTCTCAAATTTAAACTGAACTCAAATGTGTCCATCCCACTCCCAAAGAATGTCTTTTCACAGTTTCAGAATATGAAAGAAAACTGTTAACAAAGCAAAATTTCTTTAAGAAAATGCAGTGCAAATTGTTCACCCTAACCCAAATCAAGATGTATTACAAGTAAAACACCTTTTAGGTGTTTGTTTAAATTATGATGGCTTACTGTTATGAAACCAAAGAAGCCATGTATACACTTTCAGTATGTACCAGACAGAAGAAACTGTGGTCATCAATAGCTTCCAATCAATGTCCCATCAGGTCATGAAATACACACTATGCCCAGTTACCTATCTGTTGGATACTCAACAAGCTTTAATACAAACTCTGGGATAATAACCCATCCAAAGTCAAAACCTGGGTGGCTATAGAGAAATTGGGAGGAGATAAAACACAGCAATAAACTCAGAGGGAAAACAAAACCATGCATATCTCAGAGGGATAAATATTCTAACCTTCCCGCAAACTGTGATAAGGGGCCAGGCACACTGCTGAGTAGCTGTCCTTCCCTGGCTTCAGGACAATCCATGAGAGTGGCAGAACCCTGCAGGTGGGCTGAAGAATCTTGGTCTTCTCCTCCAGCATGCTAGAAGAGATGTGAGACTCCAGATGCCAATATTGCAAGAAACCAGTCTTCCTTCCCTCACTCCTTGAGAGGCCATTTGCTGAAGATCTGATTAGCATTGCTCTTTAGGTTAAAGTGAATACTTCATTTCTGCAGTACAAAATGTTGCAAGAACAGCTAGATCCTAAGTTTACTGAAGGAGTGGGGCATTAAAAGCAGTGACAGCAGAAGGTCAGAATCACCAAGTCTCTTGGCAAAACATTTCTTCCTATCAGCACTGGGCCTAAACACTGACACTTCCCTCCTCTAATCCAAATGCCAAAACGGAGGACCAGGATAATTTCAATGTGTAGAGCTAAAAGAAGAGAGGGTTCCCTTAGAAAAAATGCTCGTAGCAACCAACCAACCTCATTCACCCAAAATAGTAAACAGTTGGTTTCTCTGCTCAGCACCAAAAGGGTTCTGCCAGACAAGCACTATCACATGACCAGGTTCTCTCATCTTTCCTCTGCCTCCTTCTTGTGCAAAGCCTGCACCAAAGTGGAACAAGGAGATAAAACACAGCACTATTTTATTTTACTTGACAGTTGTGTTTAAAATGTTTACAGATGAAAGGTAAAAAATTGGAGGAGAGCAGACACTCAGGAAGAAGTGACTTTGAAAAAAAGCCTTATCACAGCACTGAAATAGGAACATAAACATAACAGTTAAATGTGGCAAATGTGCTTACTCAATGAATGAACAAACAAATGGATACTTCTTAGCAATTTCCAAGAGCTTTGTTGATTGCATCTCTAAAAGATATAACTCAGTATATACCTGACCTTCTCATTTCAGAAAAAGGCATCGCTCAAGTGGTAGAGAAGCCTAGAAAGCATGAAGCCTTAAGTTCAAATCCCAGTACCACCCAAAAAAAACCAAACACACACACACACACACACACACACACACACACACACACACACACACACACTCATCAAAAGAAAATAAATACCCTTAAGATTCTCACTAGAGTCAGAGACAGTAGACTGGAACAATAGTGGCAGCCCAGGAAATACTGCTACCTTACCAACCTCAACTTACCTATCATTTGATTTTACTGTAAGATGTTACAGTCCCAGCATTCAAATCACTGGGTAAGCTATCAGGACAGCTACACGAATAGAACTGAAAAAGCTACCCATCTGATGACACTCACTGGCATTTCTACCTGGGGAGAGAAGTCAGATTAAAAGACCTGCAACACAGAGCAAGCTACATGTGCCACCATATTCTTCCTCTACAAAGTTCGACAACAAAAATTGAGCAAGACATGTAATGAAGAGGCATGGAAGTAGGAACCTCTATGCTGAGTAATTTGTTCCAGTGGGAAAATAGGTGAAGTTTAAGAGTAAAATGTGTCACCATCACACCTTTACCTCCACACATTTTATGCTCTGTTCCCCTTCTCCAGGGATAGTCAGGGGACTAAGAGTACAGAAACTCTTACACAAACACACAGAGTAAATGGCTCAGTATCTGTGAAGTGGAAAGGAAAGAAAAAAGAAAGTAACTTTCTTCAAAAACCCTTAATTTAAGCAACACCCTGTTTCAAGAACATCTGGAGATAATTATTTGGCTAGTGTCATAATGCAAACAAGTAACATTGTTTGGAGAATGAAGACATTTGAACTCTCAGACACTACTTACCAGGTGGGTGCAAAATGATAATGCTCTTTTGGAAAACAGTTTCCAAGCTCCTTATAAAGCTAAACTTATAATGTAAGAAAGTAAGCCCATTCCTGAGTACCCAAGAAAGATAAAAACATATCTGCATAATAACAGCTTTACTTCTTGCTGCCACAAACTAGAAACACCCAAATGTTTTCTGATTTGTGAACAGAATAAAATGGCAGTACGTCCACACATGGAAATACCACCTCAGCAATTTAAAAAAACCCACAAACTATTGCTACAGACAACAACACTAACTGATGAAACCCAAAAGCAATGCATTAAATGAAAGAAGCCAGACAAAAAAAGCCTACACATTGTGTGGTGGCAGTTAGTTATATGAGGTTTAAGAAAAGGCAATACCAAAGAGACAGAAATCAGATCAATGTTTTCCAAGAGTTAGGAATGGTAAGGAGACCATCTCCAAAGAGACATGATAGAACTCTTGGGAGTGATAGAAATATTCTGTTTATGGAAAGGGTGATGGTTTACCCTTTATCAAAATTTCACTGAACTATACACTGAAAAGGGTGACTGCTAATGCATATAAATTGACCTGTTTTTTTTTTAAAGGCATTTATTTTTAAAGGTATTATTATCAGAATGGGATAGTAGTTAACAATACAGTCTCTGGAGCTAGACTTCCTGAGTTTATTAAATGATGCCCTATACTTGCTAACTGTGAGACCTTGACAAACTTTTAACATCTCTACGCTACTTCTTCATAATGTGAAGATAATAGTATTCACTTCATAGAGTCACTGCAATCGATGAATTAATGCGTGTGAAACACTTAGGGTAGTGTCACTCTATATACACGCCATAAATTCCAGCTGGTATTACACAATTATGTAACATGCACACAGATATGTCTCTATACACAGAGAACAGAGTGGAAGGATGGTCTCCATTTGGATGGTAGGAATAGGAAGATTTTATTTTTCCTCTTTCTCTCTTTTGTTTATCTGTATCTTTAAGCTTTTCAACATGAAGGGCTGATAGTATGGCTCAAGTGGTAGAGTACTTGCCCAGCAGTGCAAGGCCCAGAGTTCTAACCCCAGTACCACAAAAAAGAAAAAAGCCTTTATAGTCAGTCGCCAGTGGCTTACACCTGTAATCCTAGCTACTTAGGAGGCAGAGATCAAGAAGATTGCAGTTCAAAGCCAGCCCCAAGCAAATAGTTCTTGAGACCCTATCTCAAAAAAAGAGCTAACAGAGTGGCTCAAGCAGTAAGAGCACCTGCCTAGCAAGCATGAGGCCCTGAGTTCAAACTCCAGTGAGGCCAAAAAAAAAAAAAAAGCCTTTATAATAAGCAAAACTTATTTTTCTCAAACACAAACAAACAAAAAACATGAAACAAAGGACACTGGACTGGGAAGCAGGAGTTCTGTTTTCAGCTGTGTTGTTAATCACATGATTATATGACCTTAAGGCATCACCTTCATCTCCAAAAAGGTGTGGCAGGAATAGCTAGGGGGTCTCTCATTTCAAAAATGGAATGTTCTCTAAGATTAATGATAGCATTAAGCAAGCTACACCCTTTATTTTGTTTCATTTTTCTTTTGATATTTATTGTCTGCCTACCAAGTGCCAGGCACTATAGACACAGCGAGATGAAACACCTAAGTCCCTGCCCTTGAGGAGTTTACACTAAGGCTGTTCAAGGAAAGATATACACTTGTACCCACTTATACCATCTCTCAGCCTGAGAGTGTTCTGATGGGAAGGTAGAAGCAGGAGCCTGGCTGGTTGGGAGGAATCAGAAAAGGCCTCCAAGAGAATACACCTAAGCTGAATCAAATTATCGAGAGATATATACATATATCAAAAAGATGGGAAGGGCATCCCAACCAAAGGAAGAGGAGTGTACAAAAGCTAAAGGTATAGAAATAACAATTACTTAAAGGTATGGAGGATAGAGAGAAAGAGAAATAGAGAAAAGTCATTTTGCCAGAAATGTGGAAAACAGGGTCAAGACCAGCAGCAGGGAAGCTGGTCAGAGGAGGGAAGTGAGCACTCAGACTGCTAATAATCTCCAGAAATCATGTGGACAGGAAGTGATTTATTCTTATCTAAAGGCTGTATGTGCCACAAATAAACCTGATATATATTAGTTTAAGATATATTTTACTATATTTACAAATGTAGCATATAATTACACAAATTTTATAGGGAAAAATGTCAGTATACTTATTTGCCATGGTTAACTGTACATACTTGTTCATTAAATAACTATTTACTAAGTTAGTTATGCTGGGGGAGAAGGAAGACACAGGCAGTGAACAAAGGAACTACTCAGTCAACCAAGCGCATCAGCTGCCTAAGATCTCTCTAGATTTTCCATCCCTCAGAAGCAGGACAGAGGCAGCATAATCATGTGGCTAAGAATTTACACCTATCTATCTATCTAGAACCAGATAGATCTTTGCTCAAATTCTGGCTCTGGCCACTACCACTCAGTTCTTTTTAAGCTATTATTTTTCAATTTGGAAATTAAGATAACATCACCATATTCATAGGGCTTTAGGATGAATTTAAGACAATCAGTAATCAGTATTTCAACTGTAAAGAAAATGTTCAGCAAATTGTTCACTTTATTATTGTTTAATTTTAATTTTACACCTTTAAGACTGCCATGATCTTTCACTACACACACAAAAACATTCACAGAATAGAAAAATAGGCAAGGAGCAAATTATAAAAATGATCTGTTTAACATTACTAGATTCATATTTTAGTCATTTCACAATTGTTCTCATAAAGATATCATGCTTAGAATTTACATTCCTTGAGAATTTCTCAACTGTTAACATCTTCCTACATTACATGACCTAGTAAATTAAATAAAAACCATCACCCAAAATAGGGAACCAGTCACAATCTCTCCCAGGATTCCTTGTTCTGATTCTCTGACTAATACTGAGTCATTTAAAGAGCAGAGACAACACAAAGTACTAACAAATAGTCTGAACACAAAACTGTGGAGTGGAGTTGCCAGAGCACACCGTGGACTAACTATTTATTGCAAATAGAACTTTCTGAAACAGAAAATCAAGATGAAAGAAGAGTTTCTAACTGTGCCTTTGAGTAATCATGACTTCAGGGAGAAAAAAGGCAAAGCATTTAATGTTTTTTAAGCAAAAAAATTTTTTTGAAAAATTAAAGACTACTGCCTCCCTATAATCACATGCTCAAAAATGTTTGTTTTGTTTTACTTTGGAGACAGGATCTCACTATGTAGCCTAGCCTGCCCTCAAACTCACAATCCTCCTGCCTCAGTTCCTGAGTACTGGGATTATAGGTGTATACCACCATGCCTGGCTTTCAATCTTTCTAAAATGACTTTCTTCCAAATGACTTTGAAAGCAAGAGCAGACATTTAAGTAGGTTTTTAAAACAGACTGTACAACACAGAAAGAAAATGTCTTTTCTGTGACCCCATATGTTAAGGGCTGCTAGGGTCTGAATATGGTTCGAGTGTGTGCCCCTAAAGGTTCATGCACTAGAAGCTTGATCTTCAGTGTGAAGGTGTGGAGGTAATGGAATGTTTAAAAGGCAGGGCCAAGTGAAAGGTGGGTGGGTCACTGGGGGTGCTGCCCCAAGAAGGAATTAATATAGTTTTCCTGAAACTTTGGCTAGTTCTAACAAGAGCAGATTGTTATAAAAAGACTGTGGCCCCTAAATTCTCTGGCTTCCTTTATTTCCTCTTGCATACTTCCACTATGATGCCACTGCCACACTGTGTTGTAGCTGGGAGGTCTTCACCAGAGCCAAGCAGA